CCTACACATATATAGCATGCATATACTTTGACAATACCTACTCTACAATAACTGTAGGATTACGTGGGAGGCTACGGGGTTGTACAGGGTGACCGGAGCATTGTTTGCGTTCTCACTATTTGCTGTGTTTGCAAGTGAAGTTGGCAAAAGTTCCACCAAGAAAACAACACTGACCACAATGGTATGACAAAGTTGATATAACAAGAATTAAACATACCTATCAACCCAGCAACTTGGCCTCTGGCACGACACAAAGCCAGCTTGCCAAAGCCGCAAGATGGCGGCGTGCCAACGCAGCTGGAAGGCGGCTTGCCAGCACTACAGGATGGTAGCCTGCCCGCGTTGCACCCAGGGCGGCTGAGTCAACGCCAACCGTTGTAGGTCGGCGTCTGTAGGCCGGCGCCATTTCGACAATCACCTTCGTCAACCTTCAAGGCTCAAGGCCGTCCGCCGACCTCACCTCGTCGACTAACGTCTCGTTGGCTTCGCTGAAGCTGGCTGCACCGAAGTCGGCTTCGTTGTCGTCCATTGCATGATTATTTCAACCATTTTTGCAGCTTTTAGACACTCGTAAACTGTTTGACAAACGTGAATGAGGCCCAGGTCGTCTTCAAACGTTATGTTTTTGTAGTGTATAAGCAAACTGACAAATATTTTAAAACGCAAATAAACGCGTCTGTTTTACATTTCGAACGGAACACCTATTAAAGGAGGGTCCAGCAGCGCAGTGACTCAGTGGTCCCAATCAGCAGCCAGCCAATGCCCAGCGGAAACGCAACCAAACCAGCATGACTCAGCGTGTGCACACACGTAAGCACAGCCATACCCAGCCCAGGCAGGCAGAACAAGAGCGTGTGACCCACAAGCACGTCATCCGCCTGACGCAGGATGAATGCACAATGTTCTGCCCGAACTGTTGCCAGCAAACCCTCCTTGCTCTAAGGGCGTGTCATGGGGAGGGAAGCTTACTGCTCATGAATCCCTGTTAAGGCTGGTATGTAGCGGTTCAGAGCGGTGAAGAGTACAGACTGCTTTAGAAAACACAATATCGTAGTGAACAGCTTAGAATGAACCGAAAGTTCACCAAGCATGACACGCCCTAATCAAGCCATTGAGTTGAGGGAGTCCTGTTATCGCCATTGAGTTGCGAGAGTTCTGTAATCGCCATTGAGTTGAGAAATGCCGAGTGTTCAGTTGCTTGCTTGCCCAAAACATGAATCACGTGCATCTCAAGTCTGTTCACGAGTATACAAGTCATAGCTGGAATTCTTTGTTGGCACCACCTCTAATACGCAGTGCGATTCCCACATCGCAAATGTGGCGCCTGCTGCAATGCTGTATTTGGCGCGGTTCGAGCCGCCAAAGATGTGTTGTCCAGGAAAACGGGCTGCGGCTGAGCCAATTCTTGGCTCGTCGCCGCAAAACAGCAAGATTGAGTGTTTCGCTCCGTACGTACCTTGAATCTTAGATATTCCAGCAACACGCAGTTGAAGCAAGTCAGCTACTTCGAGTTGAGGATTCACAATTACGTGCCAGATAGTTCTCCGCTCGGCTGGATACTCGTACGTTGACGCACCTTCCCTTTCTCAAACGCTATACGCGAAACAGATTACCCAATACTGCTTTTCATGGCTGCCTCTGAATCATTCTGGTCGCATTCCACACCGCGCACGCGCCTCCTCCTCCTACTCCTCCTGTCTCTCCTCTTCCCTCCTTCCACCCTCTCTGCACGCCACCTCTTTCCCCAAGCCACCAGCGAGGTTCTTCCGCAAGTCGCCACCCTTCCGCAATCCGGAGCCACCCTTACGCCGGCCGCCAAGGTTCTCCCCCAAGCAACCGAGGTTGACGCTGTGCGCAAGTTCCTCCTAGCGGCGGGGGTCACCAACCCCGTCCCGGGCGCTCCCGCGACCGCATGCAGCGTCGCCGGCATTGGCTGCGACGCCAACGACTTCGTCACGTCGCTCAAGTTCTCCCCGTGCACCGCCTACCCGACTCTCCTCACCGGCTCCATTTCGACCGACATCAGGAGTCTCGTGCATCTCACGCATGTCGACTTTTCGTGCAACAACCTGGGGGGTTCCCTGCCAACGGTTCTCGGGCTGCTGACGAATCTGCGGCTGGTGAACATGAGCGGAAATCGGCAACTTTATGGGTCCATTCCTTCATCGATTTTTGGACTGGGGTGGCTCTCGGTGATGGATTTTCGCGGGGCGGATTTGTACAGTGCTCTTCCGACTGGTTCGACGGCGTTTTCAGCGTCGCTAAGGCACTTGGACCTGTCATATAACCGGCTCTACAACTCAATTCCGTCAGCGCTTTCTCGTGCGACACGCCTGGAGCGGCTGGATTTAAGCTTCAACAATCTCAACGGCAACATACCGAAGCAGCTGAGTAACCTCAAGCGGCTCACCTATCTTAATCTGCGATGGAACAAGCTCGGTGGAAGTGTTCCCACGGAAATATCCAAGGCGTGGCGGCTGGAAAGGCTGCACTTGGAGGGGAATAGGCTGACGGGAAACATTCCCGCTCAATTGAACCAGCTTTTGTATTTGGAGCATCTGAGCCTGAGTTATAACTACTTGTCTGGTGGTGTCCACCCTGCGATTTTCCGCATGCCTAACCTGCGGAAGTTGAGTCTTCGTCGCAATTATTTCAATGGCACGATTCCCAAGTGGAAATCGGGTTACCAGACAGACACGCTGGAGCATCTTGACCTCGCGAAGAATCGTTTCAATGGAACCGTGCCATCTGGGCTTGGTGGTGTTGTGACGCTCACCCATCTCGATTTGAGCGAGAACAAGTTTGACAATAGCATTCCATCAGTGTTGGGCGAGTTGACAGCCCTCCAGTTCCTGAATCTCGCGTGGAACAAGCTGAACGGTTCGCTTCCTGGGTATCTCAGTCACCTTCGCAGCCTTCGCTCACTTTCCGTCGCACACAACAAACTGACTGGAGTAAGTTCTAACTTCCACAACAACGGACACGAGTCGCCGCGAGTCGTTCTGGATCTGAGTTACAACTACATCGGTGGAAGTCTGGTCCCCTTCCAAAATCTGGAGAGGGTTGCGAATCTCGACCTTTCGCACAACCGACTGACGGGGAGCATACCCGTCAGTTTTTTGACTGGATCGACAGTTCTCAAGCGAGTCAACATCAGCTCGAACTACATCAACAGCACACTCGATCCGCTCACCACCCTGACGAATCTCGCTTCCCTGGATGCGTCGCACAACCGACTGCGAGGGTCGATTCCGTCGCGGCTGGTATCGCTGGCTCAGCTTTCGCACCTCGATCTGCACGATAATGACATTGTCAACCACATCCCGGACCCCACATTTGAGAACTCCGCTTTACGCTTCATCGACATCAGCTACAATGAGATCAACAGTGAGTGCATTTGCTCAAGTGCTGTCTGTGTTCTGTTCAAGATTCGTCTGGTTTATCTTCGTTGGAAGAGATGGAGCAGAGTTAATAGAGGTATGAAATAAAAAATGTTAATTGATGTTTATTTTCTGTCTTATTACGCCCCTCCTTCCTCTTTTGCAACTTTCAGGTCACCTTCCTGAATTTGTGGAATGCCCACGAGTGATCAACTTTGCTGGAAACCACCTTTCTGGCACCATTCCAGCCTCCATATCCTCCTGTGGTGCCTCTCTGATCAAACTCGACCTCGCTAATAACCGGATCGGAGGAGCACTTCCAGCGGCAGCTCTCGGTGATCTCTCTTACCTCCGCTACTTAAACCTTCCTCGAAATCGTTTCACGGGCAGCATACCAGAAGAATTGACTGGGCTGCGTGCCCTGACCTCACTCAATCTGGCCTGGAACCGGCTCACGGGCAGCATTCCAGAAAATTTGGGAGATGCTTCTAATGGTGGTGCGAAACTCGAGGTGCTTCGACTCGCGGGTAATGATCTGGGGGGCTCTGTTCCACAGCAGCTCTCGGAATTTCCTCTGTGGTCGTTTCTGCCTGGCAATCAGAACTTGTGTGGCCATCCTGTGGGCAGCTGCTGAATGACTCGTGTGCTGGACTGGAGACTCAATGGGGAGGCTGGATGAGAATACACCTATGGGTAGATTGTACATGGTACGGGGAAATGGTGCTCACTGCTCAGCAACAAGGGTGCTCAGCATCGACAGTCAAGCACATGCGAAATAATTGCCGGCGTATATATTGGGGGGAACGGCATGCCGTAGTTACATTTTGAAGATAAACCCAGCTGGTTTGGTGTACAGGTGTGCTGGGTAGGTAGTTATTTATTCTGGGTGTACATGTCACGAGCAGTGAGTGGTAGGATCATGTTGTACCAGTGGCATACCGTATGTATGTAGTTCAGGAATATTATGAAGTATACTGTATTTATTACTGTACTGTGACGGTACAGTACACTGTAGACACCTCGCTCGTTGCATGTAGAAAGAAACTTCTGATGAAAATGATAAGCAACAATAACACTCTGGACTTATCTCCAATTTCACAGCACTACACAACGTACGTACACCGTAGTCAAGGGATGGCATGGCAATAACATGTCCATCGACCACTACTGTAATAAAACCATGTTCCTTATTTCACAAATAAATAAAGACGCAAACACGCATTTCAGCTCGCAATATCCTTCCGAACGATATGGCGAGCGCAGGAAGGACCCACTGTCCACTCCACACTTCCTCTTCGCACAAGCATGGCAGCACCCACATTCATTTAGCGTGATTCCCCTGCCAAGGTCTCTCAGAACGAACAGCTGGTCTTAGAATTGCGGCTGCCCTGCTGATGCATAATGCTGCCACAGTGCCACCGGTACCATCCTCCTCCCTGTTGAGAATTCCCAGATTGGCACCAGTACCTAGCAGGCTAGTAGCCCTTCGGACGCAGCAGACAGCCGCAGTTGGAACTTGAAAAGCCACTCCAAAATTCCAGCCTCTGCCAGTGTGTGCTCTGATGCCTCTGCCAGATCCCCGACCCCTTTTTGCAGACACCCCAGCCTCCCAACCCCCCTTTAGACGCCATAGCCATACGGTGAGTCCTCCTGTGACGCTTCTGCCAGAGTGTGCTCTGATGCCTCTGCTAGATAGTCCTTGCTGCAGCGATGCACAGGGAGTGACACGTGAGAGTGGCACACACAGGGAGACACACAGAAGCAGAGAGGCCAATCAGGAGGAATTTAATGGCATCACCTGTTACTCACTGCCTCGTCCTGGTCTCTCTGCCGTTCCACACCGCTATGCCGCTTCTCCCATCGCCCTCACCTTCTCACATCGCCCTCACCTTGCTGCTGCCGCTTTGCGAGTGGTGTTGGCCTTGCCCTGAAACGCCACAACCATCCACACTCACTGCCTCGTCTGGATATGCCTGCCCTGCCATGCTCCTATGGCGCTTCTCACGTTGCTCACACATCCCTCCCATCGCCCTCACCTTGCTGCTGCCACTTTGCGGGTGGTGTTGGCCTTGCCCTGGAACGCCACCCCGGGCACACTCACTGCCTAGTGGCGGCTGTCCCACTGTCCTTCCACACCCCTATGGCACTTGTCACATCGCCCCCAACTTGCCCCACCTTCTCCCATCGCCCTCACCTTGCTGCTGCCACTTTGCGGGTGGTGTTGGCCTTGCCCTGGAACGCCACCACGAGACACTTGCTCCAACGCGGGCCGCCCGCATCCTCCACTGTCGCCGCCCGCACAGCCGCTAGCAGACGAACAAACAAGGCTCGGTCGGCAGTGGTGCTGCAGGCAGGGGCGAAAAGTGGGGCGAAGAGGGAGGAGGAAGGGGGACGAAGGAAGAGAATGGATGGAGAGTGAGGAAGTGAGGGGACAAAATGCTACGTGAAAGAAGGAAGATACAGTCAAAGACAGAGAGGGGAGAACAGCGAGAGAAGGAAGGGGCTAAAAATAAAGAGAGCGAAAAAAAAGTCACAGAAGCATTACGTGAGGGCATGAGAGCAGTCAATGGCAATAATGAGGCTCACCATAAGGGGGACGAGAGCCAGCTGAGGATGTCTGGAATCTTTGAGATGTTTCAAAGCACGATTTTGAAACGTCCCAAAACTTGATCTTGAGACGTCTCAAGGCAAGGACTCACCACAGGGGGGACGAGAGCCAACCGAGGATGTCTGGAAGCTTCACGGACGTGAGCAGGCGGCGAAGCGACTGGGGCTTCCTCTTCTTCTCCACCAGAGTCAGCTGGGAGAAACTCTGCTGAAACGCCAGGGAGATCCCCATGCTATCCAGCCATGCCTCCAGGTACTCCCCTTCCTCCTCCTCTTCTTCCTCCTCCTCGTCCTCCTCATCCTCCACGCCCTCTCCGTTCGCGTCCCCTCCACTCGCACCAGCAGCAGCAGCGCCGTTCAATTTCTCTGACCCGCCGTTCGCATACCCAGCTGGGGCACCGGCCATTTCTTCCTTTGCTCCCTCGTCTTCCTCCTCTTCCTCCTCCTCCCTCCCCTCCGCCACTGCAGCATCTCTCTCCATCTGAGCCGCCTGCTGTCGGCCAATCACGTGCGCCCACGTGGCGCACTCCTCCAGGGGCGGCGGCCACAGGTCCTGAGGCAGCGGCTGGGGCGGCTTGGGCGGACGAAGATTCTTGATTGAGATATTCTTCGAGCGGACCAGCGCCGGGCGGTCTGTCTTGGCGTTTTCCCGCATTGCCTTGCTGATGAATCGCGAGGACGCGAGAATGTCATGCACGCGGGTGCTTGCGCCGCCCGGCCCGCTGCCCGCTCCAACATAAAAGCTAGTACTGCCATACCCATACCGAGAACTCAGCGCTCCCCCAGAAGCAATATCCCTCCCCTCGCTCTCCTGCGCTCCCACCCCTCCGCTGCTAGTGGTGGGAACGGCACCCATACCAGCGATAACAACCCCTCCGGACGTGGTCCAGATAGCCGGCACGTCGCGGGCATCAAAGGGCACGCGGGCAACAGGGCGCCTCCCTACGGCCGCACCCAGCACAATCTGATGCAGAGCGGCAAAGCGCTGCGACTTGTTCAGGTCCTTGATCCAGGAGGTGTCTCCGAATTCCGGTGCGGGAACCAGGGCCGTGGAGGAGGAGGAGGAGGCGGCAGCACTAGCAGCAGCAGCACCAGCAGCAGCGGTGGTGTCGGCTGCAGTGGCGGAAGCGGCGGAGTTGAGGGGGTAGCAGCAGGCCTCGTACGCCCGCCGGACCTTCATAAGCAGCCTCCGCTCCTCCTCCCGGCCCGGGAGCAGGATGATAGCTGCAATGTGCGGGCGGAACCAGTCGAGCACGTCACTAGGTGACACCTCCACTGCCCCCTCCCTCACATGCTTCGGCGGTTTGTTACTAGCTGCCCCTGCTCCGGGTTTCCCTGTCGCTCCGTCTCCTCCGTCCCCGCCTTCCCCCTCGTCGTCTAAAGCCCAGAGGCTTTTCGCTGCGCCGTGGACTTTCCAGACTAGGAGATGGTTGGCTGATTCGTAGGAGAAGACGAGGAGGGTGGGGACGCAGAAGGCGACGATGACCAGCGCGAAACCGATCTTAGGGAGCGTTTCGAGCTGCACGAAGTTGAACCCCATGGTGGCGATGATGAAGATCATCTCGGCGACGATTAGGGTCGCTGCGAACGCGTCGTGGGTCGAGGCGACGAACGGGGAGGCGGCGAGCTGGAGGCCGATGAGAATGACTTGCACGGGGAAGAGCACAGTCATCTGGTCGGGGGGCGGGGGGGGGGTGGGGAGAAGAGGAGGGGAGTTGGGAGGAGAGGAGGGGAGTTGGGAGGAGAGGAGGGGAGTTGGGGGGAAAAGAGAGGTGTTGTGGTTGAGGTGAGGAATGGGGAGGCGGCGAGCTGGAGGCCGATGAGGATGACTTGCACGGGGAAGAGCACAGTCATCTGGTCGGGGGGCGGGGGGGGGTGGGGAGAAGAGGAGGGGAGTTGGGAGGAGAGGAGGGGAGTTGGGAGGAGAGGAGGGGAGTTGGGGGGAAAAGAGAGGTGTTGTGGTTGAGGTGAGGAATGGGGAGGCGGCGAGCTGGAGGCCGATGAGGATGACTTGCACGGGGAAGAGCACAGTCATCTGTGGTGGTGGGGGGGAAGGGGGGAGGGGTTGGGAGGAAGAAGAGGGGCACAGAGGCAGAGAGCGGAGAAAGTGAGGGCGAGTCGATGAGAATCCTCCTGGCGAACAGCACGAGGTGCCAGTAGAAATAGCGCTACTCGTATCGTATCGCATCACCATCCACCCTCCCGCACACCCTGTCCCCATCCTGCCTACAACACATATCACCACCTCCCCCCCCGTTCGTAGTGCACGCGCATACCTGGACTGGCGGCGAGTCAATGAGGAGGACAAACAGCGCCGCGACGAGAATCCGCCTGGCGAACAGCATGAGGTGCCAGTAGAAGTATCGGTATTCGTATCGCGTCACCATCCAACCCCATCCCACCCACCCTGCTCCCTCTATGAGACACACATGCATACCTGAACCGGGGGAGAGTCAATGAGGAAGACAAAGAGAGCCGCGACGAGAATCCTCCTGGCGAACAGCATGAGGTGCCAGTAGAAATAGCGGTATTCGTATCGCGTGACCATCCACCCCCAGCGCGCGCGGAACGCCTGCGTGTCGAGCAGCTTCTGCTTCTTCCCGTAGAGCATGGTGAGCGCGTAGTAGATGGGCGCGCCCTTCCCCTCCCCCTCCCCCTCACCCCTCACCCTCGCCCTTCCTCTCCTTCTCTCCCTACAAACACACATACCTGAACCGGAGGCGAGTCGATGAGGAAAACAAACAGCGCCACGGCGAGAATCCACCTGGCGAACAGCATGAGGTGCCAGTAGAAGTATCGGTACTCGTATCGCGTGACCATCCACCCCCAGCGCGCGCGGAACGCCTGCGTGTCGTGCAGCTTCTGCTTCTTGCCGTAGAGCATGGTGAGCGCGTAGAAGATGGGTGCGCCCTTCCCCCTCCCCCTCCCCTATCCCCTATCCCCCTCAACCACACCCTTCCCCGCACCCTCACCCTTCCTCCCCTTCGCTACCCACAAGCACGCATACCTGAACCGGGGGCGAGTCGATGAGGAAGACAAACAGCGCCGCGACCAGAATTCTCCGGGCGAACAGCATGAGGTGCCAGTAGAAATAGCGGTACTCGTATCGCGTGACCATCTAGCCCCAGCGTGCGCGGAACGCCTGCGTGTCGAGCAGCTTCTGCTTCTTGCCGTAGAGCATGGTGAGCGCGTAGAAGATGGGTGCGCCCTTCCCCCTCCCCCTACCTTCCCCTCCATCCCCCTAACCCTCTCCCTAGAGAGCACACATACCTGAACCGGAGGCGAGTCAATGAGGAACACAAACAGCGCCGCGACCAGAATCCTCCTCGCGAACAACATAAGATGCCAGTAGAAATAACGATATTCATATCGCGTGACCATCCACCCCCAGCGCGCGCGGAACGCTTGCGTGTCGAGCAGCTTCTGCTTCTTGCCGTAGAGCATGGTGAGCGCGTAGTAGATGGGCGCGCCCGCCACAAAGACGATGGTGACGGCGATGGCGATCGCAAACAGCGTGATGCGCGCACTGCTGCTCCACAGGTCCGTGGGGGAGAATGTCATGACAGTCACATCGTACGTGCTCTTGGAAAAGGCCTGGAGGGGAGGGAGTGGGGGAGAGAGGGAGAGAGGGAGGGAGGGAGGGAGGGAGGGAGGGAGGGAGGGAGGGAGGGAGGGAGGGAGGGAGGGAGGGAGGGAGGGAGTGAGGGAGGGAGGGAGGGAGGGAGGGAGGGAGGGAGGGAGGGAGGGAGGGAGGGAGGGAGGGAGTGAGGGTGGGAGGGAGGGAGGGAGGGGAAGGAGGAGAGGGGTGAGAGCGCGGTTGAGTGTGGAGCATGGTGAGCGCATAGTAGATGGGCGCACCCGCCACAAAGACGATGGTGACGGCGATGGCGATCGCAAACAGCGTGATGCGCGCACTGCTGCTCCACAGGTCCGTGGGGGAGAATGTCATGACAGTCACATCGTACGTGCTCTTGGAAAAGGCCTGGAGGGGAGGAGGGGGAGGGGTGGGAGGGCTTACCTGGAAGGGGAGGGCTCACCTGGAAGCAGCGCACGGTGACGGGCAGATAGCAAACGTCCAGCCAGTTGGCCGCGCCGTGAATATAAATATCCTCCAGAGGTGGTCTCACACAGTGCAGGTCTCACCTGGAAGGGAAGGGCTCACCCAGTGCAGGGCTCACCTGTTAGCGCAAGGCTAACCTGGAAGCAGCGCACGGTGACGGGCAGATAGCACACGTCCAGCCAGTTGGCCGCGCCGTGAATATAAATATCCTCCAGAGGGGCCGGCGGGTTCGCCGACGGCTTGTCTTCTCCAACCCCCCCTCCCTTCTCCCCGCCCTTCTCCCCTCCCTTCTCCCCTCCCTTCTCCCCTCCCTTCTCCCCTTTCCCTATTTGGCCTTGCGAGTGGGAGGAGTGCGCGGGTGAGGGGAAGAAGCGGCGGAGGGTGCCTTGCACGGCGAAGAGGAGGGCATAGGCGGCGAGACCCACAGCAGCGACTATCATGGTGAGCGCCCAGCGAGAGGTGAAGGGGAAGGAGACCTTGCAGTCCGGTCCCAGAATGTCCTGAGAGAGGGGATGGGGGGGGAGGGAGGGGTGGGGACAGGGGGGTTGCACACATAGGGTAGGAGGAGCAAGCAGGTGACTCTAGGCCCCACGGCAGCAACGACCATGGTGAGCGCCCAGCAGGACGTGAAGGGGAAGGAGACCTTGCAGTCAGGGCCTAGGATGTCCTGATCGGGAGAGGAGGTGGAAGGGAGAAAGGGCGGAAGGTGGGGTGGGAGGGAGGGAGCGGAGGAATAAGAGGTGGAAGGTTCCTTGAGCACTGCCGGGACCTGCAGCTCACTGTTCATCATTGATACCCACCCACCTCCCTCATGCCAAGCCATGTGGGCTGCTCTCCGTGAACCAACCACCAATGAGTGAGTGAGCGAGTGAGCAAGCGAGGGAGTGAGCGAGGGAGTGAGTGAGTGAGTGAGAAAGCGAGTGAGTGGGGGGCTCAGTGGCCCAGCCAGCTACCACGGAGAAGAGGCTGAGAGTGGAGAGCTCGACGGCCTTCCTGGCCCAGTCGGGGAACTGGAGGTCAACGGAGCCCAGCACTGCCAGGATCTGCAGCTCACTGTTCATCACCCACACCCCACCTCTCTGTGTGACCCTCCCAGGCACGTACCACAGAGAAGAGACTGAGTGTTGAGAGCTCCACGACTTTTCTCGCCCAGTCGGGGAACTGCAGATCCACAGAGCCCAGCACTGCCAGGATCTGCAGCTCACTGTTCATCATAGACACCGAGTGGAAGCGGTCAGAAAAGGCGGCCGTCGCCACCCACAGCAGGATCACGAGCACGAAGAAGAACCAGAAGAGCTGCGGAAGGGATGAAAGGGAAAGGGGGGGGGGGGGAGAGAAGAGAGTTGGGGAAGGAAGAAGGGGAATTTCGAGTCAACTCAAAACTCAGCACGTCGCCACCCACAGCAGGATGACGAGCACAAAGAAGAACCAGAAGAGCTGCGCAAGGGACAAAACGGGGGGTGTTCGGGATGGGAAGAGTTGGTAGAGAGGGGAGAAATAGGTGAGATTGGATGAGCGCACGTGACCAGCTGAGCGCACGTGACCAGCGGAGCGCACATGACCAGCGGAGCACGTGCAGCCGAGAGTGGAGCATGAGCAGCAGGAGCAGAGCAAGGTCGCCAATTCCCAAGGCACTCACCGTTTCCATCCAGGAGGTGCACTGGTAGCACGTGCCGATGACTGAGTAGTAGCCGGAGGAAGGGGGAACAGAGGAGGAGGAGCAGAGCAGCGAGAGCAGAGCAGGGAGAGCAGGGGGGAGAGCAGAGCAGGGGCGGCAGAGCAATGGTCCCGACCCAACCCTCTAGGCACTCACGGTTTCCATCCAGGAGGTGCACTGGTAGCACGTGCCAATGACTGAGTAGTAGCCGGGGGCGCACATGGAGCAGAGGCGGTTCTGATTGTACCCCTCCGCGCACTGCGAGTCGTTGGGGGATGTGTACTCGTAGCCTGCACAGCCGTCTGGCGGAGGGGGAAAGGAAGGGTGAAGAGTGGGAGAGTCAGCGGACAGAGAGATACGTGGGAAGGGGCATGAGGCTGAGAGCTGCAGCACGTGGAGCAGAGGCGGTTCTGATTGTACCCCTCTGCACACTGCGAGTCATTGGGGGATGTATACTCGTAGCCCGCAAAGCTGTCTGGGATGGGGTTAAAGGGGGGGAAAAGGGCAGTGGAAGAGGGTGTATGGAAGTGGAGGGAGTAGAAAAGGGGCAGAAGAAGAGGGGGCGGCAGAGGAGGGGGGGGAAGAGGAGGGGGGGGAGCAGAGGAGGGGGGGGCAGAGGAGGGGGGGGCGGAAAAGGGGGTGGCAGAAGAGGAGGGGGCAGAGGAGGGAGGAGGCAGAGAACATGTGAGGAGGAAGAATGAGTTGTGGGCATATGGAGTGGAAGCAATTTTTTAGACTCGTCAGAAATTGCTCACAAGGGCGAGGTGTGGAAAAGAGGGGCGTGGCAAACGAGCGAAAGGTTAAGTGCGTGACACAAAAGTGAGTGAGGAAGGTATTACTCGACACATCTTGATACAAGATAGACGCGAAAGAGGCAACACGTACTTGACACGTCGCAGTAGTACACCGCGGGGTTGTCAGTGTAAACGCTCCCCGGGTTCAACCAGAAATCCGCAGCAATCGTACACGTCCCATTGGTGCAATCCATTGCGTTATCCCCGTGAATCGTGACTGTATCAGCACAAGTCGCACACTCGCTCGCAGCCGGAAGAAAGCTGAACGTCCCGTCCTCGCACATCACTGACCCCTGCCCCGCAGGGCACATGAAGCCCACCTCGCAAGGCAGGCAAGCCAGATCATCCAGGGAGAAATAGCTCCCAGGATCGCACAACCCGAATTCGAGCTCGCGGGTGATTGGCGGGTAAGCGTCGGTCGGGCTGCTGACGGTGATCGGGAGGGTGAAATTCGCGGCCTCTTCGGGCGGCAGGACGAGGGAAACGGGCGGCAGGACCGCCCGGCCGCGGAGCGCGGTGGCGCGGAGGAGGCCGGAGATTCTTGGGTCGGGCTGGATGGCGATGATAGAAGAGAAGTCGTCGGTGGCGACGTTGCCGTAGGCATCTAGAATGGTGACGGTGATGTTGACGATGGGCGTCTGCGTGTCGCCCATCACTGTGAACGGGACAGAGGCATCACTGCCGTTTCCCCCTTCCATCACATTCTTCTCCCACCTGCGGATGTGGTCGTGGGGAGGCAGGGAAGGGAGGGAAGCGCAGGAAGGGAAGGGAAGGGGAGGGAAGAGCAGGAAGGGAAGGAAGAGGGAGAGTGAGGATGGCGATGGTGGAAGAGAAGTCGTCGGTGGCGACGTTGCCGTAGGCGTCTAGAATGGTGACGGTGATGTTGACGATGGGCGTCTGCGTGTCGCCCATCACTGTGAACGGGACAGAGGCATCACTGCCGTTTCCCCCTTCCAGTACATTCTTCTCCCATCTGTGGGTGGGTTGGTGGGGGGAAGGGAAGGGGAGCATAGGGGTTTGAGTGTCTCCCTATGACACTGACCAGTGATCAGGGACGAGGGTTGTACTGCACGCTGTCTGTCTGTGGCATGAGACAGGTGCATAGGAAGCAAACCAGGGCACGTACATGAGAGAGAAGGACGTGGGAGGGGTGCCGATGGTGTCCCGCTTGCTACTATCAGCGTCAGCACATGTGATCCTGACCCCCGGCCAGAAGGACGTGTCGAAGAATGCCACGCCCTGGCTGGGCACGGCTGCGTTGCCTTCAAACACCACATTCGTGCACGTCAGCTTGTTGCTCAGTGCCACAGCCGGCGGGAGAGAGGGCACCGATGACCCGCTGCCACTGCCACTGCTGCTGCTGCTGCTGTCGCCGCTGCCACTGCCACTGCTGCTGTCAGTCATCTCCCCGAGAGGGTTCTTTCGGAGAAGCTCACGATCCACATACACAGCCGCGCCGCCCTTCTTGGCATCGTTCCCCACAAACGAGCAGTTCAATATGCTTCCCTGCGAGTTGCCCTCGTAAAACAACCCGCCTCCGCCAAACGACGCTGCGTTTGAAGTGAAGTTGGAGAGGAAGACGGAGAGAGACGAATTCCCTGTGGCGAGGGCTCCTGCTCCCTTGCTGGCAGCGTTTGAGGCGAAATCGCAGCCGTTGATCGAGACGGTCGCGAGCGAATCGGAGAAGATGGCGCCGCCGCTGCTCCCGGTGTTGCCGGCGAGAGTGGAGCTGTTGATAACGAGGACGGCGGAGTCGGTGACGTGGAGCGCGCCACCGTCGCCCACAGGGCTCGCCACTCCAGTTGCTGCTGCTCCTGTTGCTGCTGTTGCTCCAGCTGCCGTGCTGTTACCGCCTTGGCCGGTGGTAACATTCCCAGCTACACCGGCAGCAGCAGGAGCAGAAGGAGAAGCAGCAGCAAGGATTCTGGCAGTAAGGCCCTTGGTGGTTAAGCTAGCCGATTCGATAGAGGAGGTGACTGCAGCTGCAAAGGCAGCAGCCATGCGGATAGAAGGCGAGAAAGGATAGGCGGAGTCAGAAAATCCGGTAGCAGTGGCAGCGGCGGTGGCGGTGGCAGTGGTGGTCGGAATGGTTGAAACAGCAGCAGAAGCAGAGGAGGAAGAGGAGGAAGAGGAGGAAGAGGAGGAAGAGGACGGGATGCTGGCAGCAGTGTTGTTGTTGAAACTACCACCAATAATGGTTGCCACTGCCTGGCCTCTCACCATCACTGCATGGACGGCATTCTCAGAGAACGTCGAGTTGAAAGAGGACAAAACCGCCCGCCCCTCGATCAGCGCCGCGCCGCCCAAATCCGCGCTGTTCGCAATCAGATCAGATCCTGTGAGAGCGACGCTGGCCGAATGGACGGCGTAGATCACTCCGCCGTAAAACCGGGCAGAATTGTTTCGAAACGTGGTGCCCGATGCGTTCACCTGAGAGTCCATTTCTGCCCAGACAAACCCCCCACCCCCTTGCGCACTGTTCCCCTCTACAATCACCCCCGATACACTCAACTTTGCCGACCCACTCGCACGAACCCCCCCTCCCTCGCTCCCGCCCTCGTTCCCCTTCACCTCCCCCTTTACAATCACGCCGGACGTAGAGTCAATCAGCGCCAAACACCCTCCCCCGGATATCGCCTTGTTGCCGTCACACACCGTCCTCTGCATGTCCAGCACACTGTACTCCTCCAGTGCCACCCCGCCACCTGTCGTCGCGTCGTTCTGCGACAGCTGGCAGTCGGTGATTCGCGCGTCGCCGGTCATGGCGGCGTAAACCGCGCCGCCCGCCAGGTCAGCGTGGTTGAGGGAGAACGAGGAGGAGGTGACCGTAGCGACGGTGGACACAGAGGGAGTGGCAGGAGCGGCGGGAGCGGCGGGATCGGAGGGAGAGGAAGAGGAGGAGGAGAGGACAGAGCCAACGATTGCGAGTGCGCCGCCCTTAGCAGCAGAGTTGCTTTTGAAGGAGGTGGAGAGGAGGGAGAGGGCGGTCCCACTGTGGAACACACCCCCTCCTCGCGCTGCCATGGCCTTGTTCTGCGAGAACCGGGTGTTGCTGATTGTCACGTCTGTGGCTTCACCCTGAGGGGGAGGGGAAGGGCAACGAAGGGAGCAGGAAGGGCAGAGAAGGGAACAAAGAGTGGTTCTGAGTCGTCTCAACGATGCTGCCCCCTCTTCCTCGTGCTGCCATGGCCTTGTTCTGCGAGAACTGGCAGTTGCTGATTGCCACGTCTGTTGCTTCCCCCTGAGGGGAGGGAGTGGCAGAGAACGGAACAGGAAGGGTGTTTGTGTCAACACGGGGAGGAGGGAGAGGAGGAGTGGATAGAACCGACGATGGTGAGTGCACCGCTCCTGGTGAGAAAAATAGTTGCTTATGCTCACAACAACTAAAAAACGTGAGAGACAGCCTTACCTCCGTTATAAGCACGCCTCCGCCCTCCCCAGTGGTGGCCTCGTTAGCAACAAAGTCACAATCGTCCACAGTGATGGGGTTGATGGTGTTGACTGCCATGCCGCCCCCCCCCATGTCCCCCACGTTGCCCTCCACTCTGCTCTTCGCCATGCTGCCACCATCCAGCCAGTAGACTGCGCAGGGGAGGAAGGGGGGTTGAGGAGTGCAAAGAGAGGGAATGCGGTAAAGAGGGGTTGCACGGAGTGCAGCAACTCTCATCCCCCCATGTCCCCCGCGTTGCCCTCCACTCGGCTCTTCGCCATCGTGCCGCCATCCAGCCAGTAGACTGCATCCGTGGGGGGGAGTGCCGAGACCTCAAGATTCAATGAAACTCGCGGGACCTCAAGATTCAATGAAACTCGCGGGACCTCAAGATTCAATGAAACTCGCGGGACCTCGAGATTCAATGAAACTCGCGGGACCTCGAGATTCAATGAAACTCGCGGGACCTCAAGATTCAATGAAACTCGCGGGACCTCAAGATTCAATGAAACTCGCGGGACCTCAAGATTCAATGAAACTCGCGGGACCTCAAGATTCAATGAAACTCGCGGGACCTCGAGATTCAATGAAACTCGCGGGACCTCAAGATTCAATGAAACTCGCGGGACCTCAAGATTCAATGAAACTCGCGGGACCTCGAGATTCAATGAAACTCGCGGGACCTCGAGATTCAATGAAACTCGCGGGACCTCAAGATTCAATGAAACTCGCGGGACCTCGAGATTCAATGAAACTCGCGGGACCTCGAGATTCAATGAAACTCGCGGGACCTCGAGATTCAATGAAACTCGCGGGACCTCGAGATTCAATGAAACTCGCGGGACCTCGAGATTCAATGAAACTCGCGGGACCTCAAGATTCAATGAAACTCGCGGGACCTCGAGATTCAATGAAACTCGCGGGACCTCAAGATTCAATGAAACTCGCGGGACCTCGAGATTCAATGAAACTCGCGGGACCTCGAGATTCAATGAAACTCGCGGGACCTCGAGATTCAATGAAACTCGCGGGACCTCAAGATTCAATGAAACTCGCGGGACCTCAAGATTCAATGAAACTCGCGGGACCTCAAGATTCAATGAAACTCGCGGGACCTCAAGATTCAATGAAACTCGCGGGACCTCGAGATTCAATGAAACTCGCGGGACCTCAAGATTCAATGAAACTCGCGGGACCTCAAGATTCAATGAAACTCGCGGGACCTCAAGATTCAATGAAACTCGCGGGACCTCAAGATTCAATGAAACTCGCGGGACCTCGAGATTCAATGAAACTCGCGGGACCTCAAGATTCAATGAAACTCGCGGGACCTCAAGATTCAATGAAACTCGCGGGACCTCGAGATTCAATGAAACTCGCGGGACCTCGAGATTCAATGAAACTCGCGGGACCTCAAGATTCAATGAAACTCGCGGGACCTCGAGATTCAATGAAACTCGCGGGACCTCGAGATTCAATGAAACTCGCGGGACCTCGAGATTCAATGAAACTCGCGGGACCTCGAGATTCAATGAAACTCGCGGGACCTCGAGATTCAATGAAACTCGCGGGACCTCAAGATTCAATGAAACTCGCGGGACCTCGAGATTCAATGAAACTCGCGGGACCTCAAGATTCAATGAAACTCGCGGGACCTCGAGATTCAATGAAACTCGCGGGACCTCGAGATTCAATGAAACTCGCGGGACCTCGAGATTCAATGAAACTCGCGGGACCTCAAGATTCAATGAAACTCGCGGGACCTCAAGATTCAATGAAACTCGCGGGACCTCAAGATTCAATGAAACTCGCGGGACCTCAAGATTCAATGAAACTCGCGGGACCTCGAGATTCAATGAAACTCGCGGGACCTCAAGATTCAATGAAACTCGCGGGACCTCAAGATTCAATGAAACTCGCGGGACCTCGAGATTCAATGAAACTCGCGGGACCTCGAGATTCAATGAAACTCGCGGGACCTCAAGATTCAATGAAACTCGCGGGACCTCGAGATTCAATGAAACTCGCGGGACCTCGAGATTCAATGAAACTCGCGGGACCTCGAGATTCAATGAAACTCGCGGGACCTCGAGATTCAATGAAACTCGCGGGACCTCGAGATTCAATGAACTCCCGGGACCTCGAAACTCGCGGGACCTCAAGATTCAATGAAACTCGCGGGACCTCGAGATTCAATGAAACTCGCGGGACCTCAAGATTCAATGAAACTCGCGGGACCTCGAGATTCAATGAAACTCGCGGGACCTCAAGATTCAATGAAACTCGCGGGACCTCAAGATTCAATGAAACTCGCGGGACCTCGAGATTCAATGAAACTCGCGGGACCTCGAGATTCAATGAAACTCGCGGGACCTCAAGTATCAATGAAACTCGCGGGACCTCGAGATTCAATGAAACTCGCGGGACCTCGAGATTCAATGAAACTCGCGGGACCTCGAGATTCAATGAAACTCGCGGGACCTCGAGATTCAATGAAACTCGCGGGACCTCGAGATTCAATGAAACTCGCGGGACCTCAAGATTCAATGAAACTCGCGGGACCTCGAGATTCAATGAAACTCGCGGGACCTCGAGATTCAATGAAACTCGCGGGACCTCGAGATTCAATGAAACTCGCGGGACCTCAAGATTCAATGAAACTCGCGGGACCTCGAGATTCAATGAAACTCGCGGGACCTCGAGATTCAATGAAACTCGCGGGACCTCGAGATTCAATGAAACTCGCGGGACCTCGAGATTCAATGAAACTCGCGGGACCTCGAGATTCAATGAAACTCGCGGGACCTCGAGATTCAATGAAACTCGCGGGACCTCGAGATTCAATGAAACTCGCGGGACCTCGAGATTCAATGAAACTCGCGGGACCTCAAGATTCAATGAAACTCGCGGGACCTCGAGATTCAATGAAACTCGCGGGACCTCGAGATTCAATGAAACTCGCGGGACCTCAAGATTCAATGAAACTCGCGGGACCTCGAGATTCAATGAAACTCGCGGGACCTCGAGATTCAATGAAACTCGCGGGACCTCGAGATTCAATGAAACTCGCGGGACCTCGAGATTCAATGAAACTCGCGGGACCTCGAGATTCAATGAAACTCGCGGGACCTCGAGATTCAATGAAACTCGCGGGACCTCGAGATTCAATGAAACTCGCGGGACCTCAAGATTCAATGAAACTCGCGGGACCTCAAGATTCAATGAAACTCGCGGGACCTCAAGATTCAATGAAACTCGCGGGACCTCAAGATTCAATGAAACTCGCGGGACCTCAAGATTCAATGAAACTCGCGGGACCTCAAGATTCAATGAAACTCGCGGGACCTCAAGATTCAATGAAACTCGCGGGACCTCGAGATTCGATGAAACTCGCGGGACCTCGAGATTCAATGAAACTCGCGGGACCTCAAGATTCAATGAAACTCGCGGGACCTCGAGATTCAATGAAACTCGCGGGACCTCGAGATTCAATGAAACTCGCGGGACCTCAAGATTCAATGAAACTCGCGGGACCTCGAGATTCAATGAAACTCGCGGGACCTCGAGATTCAATGAAACTCGCGGGACCTCGAGATTCAATGAAACTCGCGGGACCTCGAGATTCAATGAAACTCGCGGGACCTCGAGATTCAATGAAACTCGCGGGACCTCAAGATTCAATGAAACTCGCGGGACCTCGAGATTCAATGAAACTCGCGGGACCTCGAGATTCAATGAAACTCGCGGGACCTCGAGATTCAATGAAACTCGCGGGACCTCAAGATTCAATGAAACTCGCGGGACCTCGAGATTCAATGAAACTCGCGGGACCTCGAGATTCAATGAAACTCGCGGGACCTCGAGATTCAATGAAACTCGCGGGACCTCGAGATTCAATGAAACTCGCGGGACCTCGAGATTCAATGAAACTCGCGGGACCTCGAGATTCAATGAAACTCGCGGGACCTCGAGATTCAATGAAACTCGCGGGACCTCGAGATTCAATGAAACTCGCGGGACCTCAAGATTCAATGAAACTCGCGGGACCTCGAGATTCAATGAAACTCGCGGGACCTCGAGATTCAATGAAACTCGCGGGACCTCAAGATTCAATGAAACTCGCGGGACCTCGAGATTCAATGAAACTCGCGGGACCTCGAGATTCAATGAAACTCGCGGGACCTCGAGATTCAATGAAACTCGCGGGACCTCGAGATTCAATGAAACTCGCGGGACCTCGAGATTCAATGAAACTCGCGGGACCTCGAGATTCAATGAAACTCGCGGGACCTCGAGATTCAATGAAACTCGCGGGACCTCAAGATTCAATGAAACTCGCGGGACCTCGAGATTCAATGAAACTCGCGGGACCTCAAGATTCAATGAAACTCGCGGGACCTCAAGATTCAATGAAACTCGCGGGACCTCAAGATTCAATGAAACTCGCGGGACCTCGAGATTCAATGAAACTCGCGGGACCTCGAGATTCAATGAAACTCGCGGGACCTCAAGATTCAATGAAACTCGCGGGACCTCAAGATTCAATGAAACTCGCGGGACCTCGAGATTCAATGAAACTCGCGGGACCTCGAGATTCAATGGAAAAATAAGCCTTGGCAAGAACTCGGGGGTGGTGAGCAGAGAGACTCACCTCCGCCACCTGAAGCCACTGCATAGTTGTAGCCGAACGTGACGTTGCTGATGGTGGCTGCCGGCTGACTGCTGCCTTGGAGTGAGTGCTGCCCTGGCATGCACTCACTCTCGGGTGTTGAGCAGAGAGACTCACCTCAGCCTCCTGAAGCCACTGCATAGTTGTAGCCAAAGGTGACGTTGCTGATGGTGGCTGCGGACATCTCTGTTTTGGAGTGAGCCACCTCAAAACCGGATCTAGTTCTCAAGCCTGGAGCAGAGAGACTCACCTCAGCCTCCTGAAGCCACTGCATAGTTGTAGCCAAAGGTAACGTTGCTGATGGTGGCTGCGGACATCTCTGTTTTGGAGTGAGCCACCTCAAAACCGGATCTAGTTCTCAAGCCTGGAGCAGAGAGACTCACCTCAGCCTCCTGAAGCCACTGCATAGTTGTAGCCAAAGGTGACGTTGCTGATGGTGGCTGCGGACATCTCTGTTTTGGAGTGAGCCACCTCAAAACCGGATCTAGTTCTCAAGCCTGGAGCAGAGAGACTCACCTCCGCCTCCTGAAGCCACTGCATAGTTGTAGCCAAAGGTGACGTTGCTAATGGTGGCTGCAGGTGATGCGATGTAGAGACCCCCGCCCATGTACGCCTGTGGGAAGGGAGAGAGAGAGGGAGGGGGGAGCAGAGAGGGGAAGGGGAAGGAGAGGGAGGAGGGGGAAAGCCTGAAGCGACGGCATAGTTGTAGCCAAAGGTGATTTTGCTAATGGTGGCTGCAGGTGATGCGATGTAGAGCCCCCCGCCCATGTACGCCTGTGGGAAGGGAGAGAGAGAGGGAGGGGGGAGCAGAGAGGGGAAGGGGAAGGAGAGGGAGGAGGGGGAAAGCCTGAAGCGACGGCATAGTTGTAGCCAAAGGTGATTTTGCTAATGGTGGCTGCAGGTGATGCGATGTAGAGCCCCCCGCCCATGTACGCCTGTGGGAAGGGAGAGAGAGAGGGAGGGGGGAGCAGAGAGGGGAAGGGGAAGGAGAGGGAGGAGGGGGAAAGCCTGAAGCGACGGCATAGTTGTAGCCAAAGGTGATTTTGCTAATGGTGGCTGCAGGTGATGCGATGTAGAGCCCCCCGCCCATGTACGCCTGTGGGAAGGGAGAGAGAGAGGGAGGGGGGAGCAGAGAGGGGAAGGGGAAGGAGAGGGAGGAGGGGGAAAGCCTGAAGCGACGGCATAGTTGTAGCCAAAGGTGATTTTGCTAATGGTGGCTGCAGGTGATGCGATGTAGAGCCCCCCGCCCATGTACGCCTGTGGGAAGGGAGAGAGAGAGGGAGGGGGGAGCAGAGAGGGGAAGGGGAAGGAGAGGGAGGAGGGGGAAAGCCTGAAGCGACGGCATAGTTGTAGCCAAAGGTGATTTTGCTAATGGTGGCTGCAGGTGATGCGATGTAGAGCCCCCCGCCCATGTACGCCTGTGGGAAGGGAGAGAGGAGAGTGGGGGGAGCAGAGAGGGGAAGCAAAAATCATCACCACCAACGCCACCATTACCTGCCATTACCACCCCACCTCACCACAACCAACAGCATCGCACCGCACTGTACCACACCACACCGTACCGCACTGCACTCACCCAGTTGTTGCTGACGGTGGAGTTGGAGAGCTCAAACGTCACGTCCAGCTTGTTATCCACGTTTGTGCTGATCCCTCCTCCCTGGGCTTTAAGCCCCTCCGTCATCAGCCCGTTGTTCCCCGAGATATTGCAACCGCGCACCACCGCATTGACATCCGATAAATACACCCCGACACCCAGGTTAACCGCGGCATACCCTGTATTATCCAGGATATTACTATCGATTAACTCCACGCTTCCAGTTGTTTCCAGGCTCCAGCAATCCACACCAATCCCCGTCCCGCTCTCCATGTAATTCGTGCAGCGGGTGATTGTGGACCGTTGGATCGAGATCGAGCTCGTGCCCATGGCGTAGATCCCTCCTCCGCCATAGACAGACGTGGTAGAGTCTATAGTGGAGTCTAGAACTACAGTAGACACTGTTCCGTTAAGGAAAAATCCGCCACCGTACGACGGGTCGTCGCTATAAGGGGCGTAATCCCGGGCCGATGCAGCGAAACACCCGAAAAAAGTGGAGGACTGGACAGAAAGAGAGGGAGAGGAGGCGTCGGATAAGCACCCCCCGGAGCTGCCATTGGTGCTTGTGATTTGGACGGATTTGAGTGTGAGAGTGGAGGAGGAGGAGGCGAGACCGCCGCCCAGGAAGCGAGAGGAGCACTCGGAGATGGAGGAGGAGGAGAGGGAGAGGGTGGTAGAGTAGATGGCGATTCCGCCCCCCACGCTCTCGTCCGCGTGGCATGACTGAATGTCCAGACCCGAGAGTGTTGCCTTGGACGCTGAGTGGTGGGGGGGAGGGGGAGGGGAGGTATGGGGGAGGGGGGAGCGGGGGAGAGTGAGGGAGTTGCAGGAGGGGGTATGGGTGACAATGCCGCCCCCCATGCTCTCGTCCGCATGGCATGACTGAATGTCCAGACCCGAGAGTGTTGCCTTGGATGTTGGGGTTGGGGGAAGTATGGGGGGGGAGACGGGGAGAGGGACAGGTTGCAGGATGGGGAAAGGGGTGGCAGCACAACGTTGATGCGGGAGGAGGGAGAGGGGAGGGGGAGAGGGGAGGAGGAGAGGGGAGGAGGAGAGGGGAGGAGGAGAGGGGAGAAGGAGAGGGGAGGAGGAGAGGGGAGGAGGAGAGGGAGAGGGAACAGAGGCTGACTGGAACTGGAAGGGCGGCATGAGAGAAACTCACAGAAGATGGCAATGCCGCCGCCACCACCATCGATGCCCCCTTGGGTGACCTTTGAGTCGAACACAGTCACACCCGCCATAGTCACATCCTTGGATGACGTTATGGAGACAGCGCCACCGTTCAGGTACGCGATGCAGCTCGCGAAATCGACGCTCGTTAGAGTCACCTTCTGGTTCGCCGCTTCCAAGCAACCCCCTCCGGCTTGCCTGTTCAGCCCGCTCATTACAGCGACCCCCTGTATAGTCACACTCGCCTGCGCGCACGGCACAGCAGGAGCACCACCTCCAGCAGCACCCCCGTTAGTAGCACAAACGGCGCTCAGGCAGGGCCCGTTCTTGCAGTTGATAAGAGGCTTGGATGTGATTTTACCGGGGGGCGTGGGGGAGGGGGAGGAGAGCGAGCCTGCGGCTATGGTGAGGGAGTAACCGCCGAGCGCGAGGGGCGCGGAGAGTGCGGAGAAGGAGACGGGGATGGTGCCGTTGACCAATAGGATCGTCGCTCCTTTGAGATTCGCACTGGGGTGGGGAGAAAGGGGGACGATTGAGGGAGTGGGGGAAGGGGGAGGGAAGAACGGGGAGAAGGAGATGGGGAAGATGCTGTTAAGATTTACGCTAGTGGGGGCGCGGAGGCGTGGGGAGGGAGTCGGGGGAAGGGGAAGGAGAGTGGGGTGGGGTGGGTCGGGGGGGAAAGGGGGGAGGGGAGAACGAGCAGCGGGAGGCGGGGGAGGGGGAGGAGAGGTATGGGGAGAGCTACAAGCTGCGGAAAGGTATAGTCATATGAACACGGCGCAAAGCAAGTGGTTGCTAGCGGCGAGCAACTTAGGTCAAGTCAAATCAAGGAGGGTAAGACACTCACTTGGTAAGGGCGAGGTCGAGAGAGCCTGCGAAAAACGACCGACGAGGCGAGGCGGAACCCGGCCGAATAACCCCATGGAAAAAAAAGGGGGGAAGGGGGGAGGTGGGGGAGGCGGAAAGCGGGGGGAAGTGGGGGCGAGAAGGGTGAGGCGGGGGAGAGCATGGGGAAAGGGGGGAGGGGGGGTAAGAGGAGGGTGGGAAGTGAGGCGGGAGTGTGGGAGAGGAGGGGGGAGACGGTTAGAAAGCAGGATACGACTGGAAGCAAGAGCACACGATGAGCACGGGAAGAGCAGGCGTTGACTAGCGCATTCGAGTGGACTTAGCAGACGGCCGACGACGCCACGTGCTCACTCACGAAGGTGGGATGTAAAGAACCTCGCGACTCACCGGACGGCCGCTGCGCTACAACCCCTTCCCCCTCCTACCCCCCCTCCTCGCTCCCACCCTTTCCCCCTCTCCACCCACCTCGCCTCCCCTTTTCCCCCTTCCGCCAGAGCGCCCCTCATGACTCGCCGCACGGCCTCTGCGCTACTCCCCCTCCCGTTCCTTCCCCCTTCCCCTCCACCATTCCCCCTTGCCTTCCCCCTTCCCTTCTTCCCCCTTCCCTTCATCCTTCCTCCATCCGCTTACCCTCCACGGTTTTTCCCCTTTCCGCCGTGCCTTGCTCTCACGACTCACCGCATGGCCTCTGCGCGGTTCCGCAGCAACCGGTAGCGGTGCCGGTCTCTGTCACGTACACGACGGCTTGCCGGTTACAGACTGATAAGGACACACGGGGAACGCACGGCGCAAAGAAAACGGCGGTAGACGCAGTGGATGGGAAGGGAATGGCGGAAGGCAGGCGCATTGGCGGAACGAAATGGCGGCGGAAAGAGACGACCGAGGAAAGAAACATGGCAGAAGGACGTGCAGAATGCGAAGAACACACGGAAAGGGAAGCAAGCGATGGTGCATGAACCGTGCGTGCGAAGTTGATACTTAAGTGAAAGCGACTGAGGAGGAGAGAATGAGCGGACGAGGGAAGAAACGCATTGAAAGGAAGACGGGGACCGCTTCAGCTGTTAGCCGCTTTGGAATGTGACATTTACGGTCGAAACCTGCAGGTACGAACCTGATTGCGAGCGCGTTAAGGGTGAACTCGACAACAGAACAAACGTCACAACGGCGAGGCGGAGCATTTGACTCGTCTCGAATCTCCATGAATCTAGTCTCTGGGCTCTACACGTTTTGCTTTGATGTCGGTACTTTACACTGCTAGCGGGACGACGCATCGCGACAATTGTATCGCACGACGAAATTTTCGTATCCCGGCCGTCGTCCGCGAAAGATACGCGGAGCCTCGATAGCGAGGCCGACGACTCCTGAGCTACACCTTTTTTTATTCAATATGTCACTGTAAAAACGGGTCGGAGTGGTGGCCGATGCCCTAATCGCGACAAACGCGCGGGAGAGTTAAGAACGTGATACTGCTACCGTGAGACGAGGCTATGTCGCCGCTTTGCAAATATGAGGTTTACGCATGGTGTCTTTCTGAAAGAGCTCCACGCCGAATCTAGGGACAATGCTGAGCGTGATGAGTCGAGCACAGTGAGGCCCTACACTGATTAACCGTTGGGCTTATCCAAAATGTCTCTATTCGTCCGTAACCCAATCCCGTTTTCGTGTTAAGCCTTGGACTAGGTTCGCGAGAGTCGATGACAGTCTTGGTATTGGTATCTTTACTCGCTACTTGCTAGAATCCGTTTCTCGCCAAAATGCAGGTGAGAGGATAGCAAGCATTACAACACAACCTTGCTCCAACTCATGTATCAACAGCCAGTCACACACACCCCTGCACAATTTGGTTTGGTCGTCACTCGAAACTTCGAGGATGCGTTTGGAAACAGTGATCGAAACTAGTGGAGCTCCCAAGTTGTTCCTTGGGAACACCACGAGCATCCCAGCGTTGTCACGTACATTTTTCTCGCTCTGTACGATACATCAAGTACAGAACAGCTCAGGACTACACACCTGACAGAACAACGCGGAATTGCTGCATTTGCTTTCTTCAGCCCGATTTCATGCAAATCGAAAAGGTTGACGCTTTTCGGAGTTCTGTATACAGCATACCAGGGCAGGTGGTGAAAACACGCTGGTCCCTGTTTTGACCAACACGGGCAGGGGAATGTGTCGTCCTTCTTCTGTTGGGAATGGGAACGTGGTTCGACGGGCAGCCGAGCGACGAATCGACGAGATATTATTTTCACCGTTCTCTTCACACACTCGCACACACACCACCATTCCAGTGACCCCACCCGGGACCCCTTCACCCCGCCCTCTCCACCCCCACCACTGACCCGATGGGCAGATGGGCAAATGGCGACAAACCTCGCAGTTTTGTGGGGCGCCTGAAACCGCGTTTCCATAACCAGCCCGCACTGTGCAATCTCACCAACTAACAAGACCACCTGAAGGTCCTTATCCTCGGTAACAGCTCGTCGGGATGCAGCACAACCTATAGCACCCGTTTTCTGCACGAGACCATGAATGGTACTGTAAGGAATTTTCTCGGCATTCCTTACGGAGCCCGACTACATCGCGTACAACAGCCATTGTTCGCCCGTTACTGCTAACGGGACTTCTCCAACTTCGCGCGCACTGTTTTGCCAAACCTCGCACTGCTGGCCTGGCCGTGTCGGCCTACGCTTCGGGACTAGCCCGAGCCTCGCTGCCAGCATAGCACTAGCTAGCTCGCACGCACCGCGTTACCGTTTGCATGTTTCGCGTATAAATGTTCGCTCATGCCCTCGCTCACATCTTTGTACTCGTTTGACACCTTAGTGCAATTCTCGCTACTTCGATCCATTGCACCCGTAACAGGTACCCTGCTTACACAGAGGTAACGGGTGCTCCATCCACAATGCATACACACGTTTATTCAATGCGCATGCATTGCTTCATACAAAGTGTTGAGAAGATGGGGGATACTATTTCGCTGCGAAACGACCACCACACATAGAGTAGATCGAGTGGTTCACAATAAAATTCCGTTACAATATGCCGCAGTCAGTGCATCCCCTTGCAACCCTCGTCTTTCTTCTCTCGTGTTTTCCTGCTCCTTGCGACCTCCTCTGTCTGCCGTATGACAGCATATCCATAACGAGACCTAGGCTTTTCCCCTTCCCCTACCCACATCCGAAGGCCCACGGGAGAATTACCAAACTCCGTACAACCAATAAGCGAATTCATGCCGTTCTTCTCTACCCTGATGCATGCCCCCACCCCATCTATCTACGACAGCATAGCATACCTCTTACCCGACCTACAAGCATCGCTCCCCCCAACCTCCCCATCCATAGGCCCTTAAGAAGAAGCATAGGAGGCCCTGCTTGGTTCTAGCATCTCGCTACTTTATCTTCTACCCCTTCCCCTACACCTACTCCCAACCCATCTGTCTGCCACAGCACAGCATACCTCTCCCCCTATTTAGGAGCATCGTTCTCCCCAGCCCCCCCATCCATCGGTCCATATGAGGACACAAGGAGGGGGGGCTGCTTGACTCTACCATTAAGCTACATTTTCTACTGCCCCTGCCCCTGCCCCTGCCCCTGCCCCTGCCCCTGCCCCTGCCCCTGCCCCTACCTCTACTCCCACCCCATCTGTCTGCCACAGCACAGCATACCTCTCAACTACCCCAGGAGCATCGCTCTCCCCAGGACCCCTATCCACCGGCCCGTAGGAGGACACAAGGAGAGGCGGCTGCTTGACTCTACGATTAAGCTACACTCTCTCCTGCTGCTGCCCCTCCTGCTGCATCTGCCCCTGTCCCTGCCCCTGCCCCTGCTTCTCCCATCCCGTCCGTCTGCCACAGCGCAGCATACCTTTCCCCTGACCCAGGAGCATCGCTCTCCCCAGCCCCCCCATCCATTGGGCCATAAGAGGACACAAGGAGGGGCGGCTGTTTCAGGGAACGAGCTAGCAGCTCAAAAGCACTGCGGCTGACGTCCGTTGTGAGGGTGGAGCGGGGAGGTGTTGATGGGCTGGCCCGAGCAATGTATGCATAGAAGACCTGTGAAGAAAAACGGAACAATAAGAGCAGGAGGGGAGAGAAGGAGAGGTGGGTGCTTGAGCGAGCGAGAGAGCAGGTCAATGGCGCCGCGGCTGACGTCCGTTGTGAGGGTGGAGCGGGGAGGCGAGGAGGATGCAGCCCGGGCGATGTATGCATAGAAGACCTGTCGAGGCGGGAAGAGGACACGGTAGAAGCAGGAGGTGAGGGAAAGAGGGGCGGGTGCTTGCGTTCCGAGGAGCGTCAAGAAGCTCCCCCATGCACTAGCCTAAAGGAGGAAAAAATGTCGTGTGCCATAGTAACGAGGTGACTTCTGAGTTGACTCAAAAGTCACAAAGTCACCTCTTTTGAGTCGACTCAAAAGTCACCTCAGAATTCACCTCGTTCTGAGGAGCCTCAAGGAGCTTCTCCATCCACCAGCCTATAGGAGGACACAAGGTGAGGCGCCTGCTTGAGGGAGTCAGCAGCTCAAATGCGCTGCAGCTGACATCGGTCGTGAGAGTAGAATGGGGAGGTGAGGAGGGGGCAACCCAGGCAATGTATGCATAGACGCATGTTGACAGAGGCGAGGGTGGAGGGACAAGTGGGGAAAGGCTTGAGTCCAGGAAGTGAATGCATAGAAGACCTTATACGGCAGGGGAAGATTTAACATGTGAGTCGACTGAGAGGTCAGCTCGGAACGTGGAGGAAAGGAAGGTGGCATACAGTAACCACCTCATCCTCTCATTCTCACCTGATAGCCAACGGTGTACGCCTTGAGGAAGGTGGGAACGAGGGGAGGCAGCAACTGGGTCAGCGCCTGCTGCAGCTGCGCCTGTGTCTTGGCCACCCCGCCCTGCCAGCCCCCCCTGCTGGGCGCATCGTTCCACACATCGGCCACGTATACTCTCTGAGAGGAAGGGTCTTCTGTGAACGATACACTCAAAGGAGTGTAGCCCTGCAGAATGAAGGGGGAGGGGGATTGGCATAGGTGGGAACGAGGGGAGGGAGTTTGGTATAGGTCGGAACGAGGGGAGGCAGCAGCTGAAGCAGCGTTTTTTTAGGCAACTCAAAGCCGAGACAGCGCCTGCTGCAGCTGCGCCTGTGTCTTGGCCACCCTGCCCTGCCAGCCCCCTCGGCTGGGAGCATCGTTCCACACATCCGCCACGAACACTCTTTGGGCCGAAGGGACCTCAGTAAATGACAGACTCAGAGGGGTGTAACCCTGCAAATGGGAGGAGAAGAGGGGGGGGAGAGAGGGGCGTCTTGGCCACCCTCCCCTGCCAGCCCCTCTGCTGGGAGCATCGTTCCACACATCCGCCACAAACACTCAACGGGGTGTAGCCCTGTGGAAGGGGGAAAGCAGGAAGAAAAGGAAGATGGAAGGAACAGGAGAATCGTTCCACACATCCGCCACAAACACAAGGAGGGAGGAAGGGTCCTCTGTGAGCGACACACACTCAACAGGGTGAAGCTCTGGAGCAGGGAGGGGGGAGGGGGGAGGGGAGGGTAAAATTTAGAAGCAGGCATTGAATTTCGAGACATCTCAGAACCGTCACCCGTTTCCCATCACTCTCCACAACCACTCCAACCCCTCCACCATCCCTCCTGCACCCTCCGACCATTCCCTCCACCTGTCGCTGTAACTGCGGCCACCGGGAGGAGGGCCCGCAGCAGTAGGAGGCGTCATGAGGGACGCCGAACACCGCTTCCACCCTGTAAACTCCCACCTCTCCCACCCCCCCCACTCTCCCTCCCCATCCCCACTCACCTGTCGCTGCAGCTGCAGCCATCTTGAGGAGGGCCCACAGCAGTAGGAGGAGTCGTGAGGGACGCCGAACACCGCCTCCACCCGTGTGCTGCTGCCAGCTGGCCATGCCACGTCAGCAAGGAATATGGAGGCGTAGTACAGCCCGTGGTGGTCCGCCACATAGTAGCTCTCCACCTGTTGGGGGCGGCAGATTAGTGGGCGGCAGATTAGTGGGCAGCAGAGTGGTGGGCGGCAGAGTGGTGGGCGGCAGAGTGGTGGGCGGCAGAGTGGTGGGCGGCAGAGTGGTGGGCAGCAGAGTGGTGGGCGGCAACAGAGAGGTGGGCAGCAGAGTGATTGCACCTGAGAGGGGCCTTTGTGGAGACTTCAGAGTTACCTCAAGAGTCACACAAGCATGCGCCGAAGAGATAAGCACACCTGAGCACACCTGGGCACACCTGAGCACACCTGGGCACACCTGAGCACACCTGAGCACACCTGAGCACACCTGAGCACACCTGGGCACACCTGAGCACACCTGGGCACACCTGAGCACACCTGAGCGCACCTGAGAGGGCTTATAGCCCGAGGAGATGTCATGGTGTAGGGCATCCTGATACTGCTGGCCTTTGAGGCAAGATGGATGGGTAAGATGGACATACGCTCCTGAGCGGAGTGGAGAGATACGCACCTGAGAGGGCTTGTAGCCCGAGGAGATGTAATGGCGCAGAGCATCCTGGTACTGCTGGCCGTTGAGGTTGAACACCATCACCCACCCCAACTGTTTGGGGAGCAGGTGTGCAGAGGGGTACGGGGAGGTACAGGAGGGTACAGGGGGGTACAAGGGGGCGTGCTGGTGGGTGTTGAGTCATACTGCAGAGCGTCCTGGTACTGCTGGCCGTTGAGGGGTTGGACACCATCGCCCACCCCAGCTGTCAATAGAGAACAAGGGGTACAGCGGGGTACAGGGGAGTGTGCAGGGGCGTGCAGGGGGGTGTTGAGTCATACTGCAGAGCGTCCTGGTACTGCTGGCCGTTGAGGGGTTGAACACCATTGCCCACCCCAGCTGTTGGGTGGCGGAAAGAACAGTGATGGAGGTGAGGAGAGAGGAGCAACGGGGATTGAAGGAGCATCAAAAGGACCTGAAGGGAAGCTTATATATCTAGTGAGCAAGTGATGAAAGGATATTTTGGGTGCAAGGATAGGAGCGTACGGATTTCGAGTTGGGTTGCCAGAGTATCGAGAAGAAGACGAGTGCGCGAGGGGACGCGACGGCATATGCGCTGACAAAGGCCGGCACATGGGAGCGCGTGCGCGAGGAGAGAAGAGCCGGCAAGTCGGACGACTCGACCCGTGAGTCAAGGATCGGGCCGGCGGTTAGCCAGCCGCCCGGGTATTTGCGCTCGAAGTAAGCTGGCTGTAGTAAGGAAGAGAGCGGGGGGGATGGGAGGAGCAAGCGAGTGAGGAGAGTAAAGTCGGCAGGTCGAACGAGAGTGAAGGGCGGAGAGTGTAGGGAAGCAAGAATAAGCGGGCAAACATTTACCTCAGCTCCGGAGATTTCTGGCTGCGCGCGTTCCGCAGAACTACTCGTGCGGAACTTCCGGATTCTTAGGCGACTCGGCGCGCTGTGGTTTCCCTGCGACGAAAATACCAGCGGTGTTACACGCGGTGTTACCGCACCCCCGTCGGATACGTTCCTTCGCGGAAAGTTCTCGTCACGGAATGCCCCGTCAGCGGCGGCGACGGGGCCTCCGAGGTGGAAATCCGCGCCGAACCCGCCGCGGAACGCGAGGGATGAGGACACCTGCCAAGGAAGGACCGCCGCGAGGAGCGTAAGAGAGAAGAGCGCTGCGAGAATGTTGGCGGCGCGGGAATCCATCGAAACCGGCGCGCGAGAAACGGAGCGCGAAGGGAAAAGACTAGAAACTGACCACAACGAAGGACAAAGAAGGTCGGATGATGCTTTATGAAGCAAACAAAAATCAGCTGAGGTGAAATGCTGATGCGAGGTGAATTCGGGGGGAAATTCGACGTCCTCGCCATTAGCACGCTCGACATGAGTTTGGCTCCCTATTCGAAGCACTGAAGCTACTATCATGCTTTGGAAAAGCCCCTCGGTATCCTTTCTGGAAAGAAAATAATACAAAATTGTGCTAATATGTAACCTCCTTTTCGTTTTTTTGAAAAATGTACAAAACACTATTTACAAGGATATATGCTACACCATATCATCACAATGCAATGCATCTAATGCTTTTCAAACCTTATACCTCTGCTTTGCCCTTTTCCCCAAGCTCCCCTCTTGTGTCTACCTTCCTTCCACATTTTCCACTCCCTCAACTGCCCACCTTCCCATGCTCCCCTCCCCTCCAACCTCCCCCCAACCCCATCAGTCTGCCACAGCACAGTGTATCTTTCCCATGATCCCCTCTCCCCCACCACCCCAACATCATCAGTTGCGCTTTTCCCTTGCTCCCCACACTTGGGCGGCACAAACTAGGCGACAAACAGGGGGGGGGTGCTGGAGGGAGCGAGCGAGCACCATCAGCAACTCCCCCCTCCCCCCCCCTCCCCCCCCCGAATATCACTCTTGCCACAGAACAGTGTATCGTTCTGTTGCGCTTTTCCCCTGCTCCCCGCACTTGGGCGGCACGAAAGAAGCGACAAACAAGGGCGGGTACCTGAGGGAGCGAGCGAGTAGCTCGAAGCCACTATGGCTGATGTCAGCAGTGAGGGTGAGGTGGGGAGCAGAAGCGGAGGGCGGGCGGGCCACATATGCATAGAAGACCTGCTTGGGAGGAAGAGAAGGGAAAGAGGGGTAGAAGAGGCGGATTCAGACAAGCTATGAACATCGCATCTCATCCAGTGCGCCTCAGCATGTCCATAGCAAGCTCTGAGGGGAAGAGAGGTGAAACTCTCACCTTCTCCCCTTCTCACACTCTCACCCTCTCACACTCTCACCTTCTCCCCTTCTCACACTCTCACCCTCTCACACTCTCACCTTCTCACCTGCTAGCTCTGTCACTCCCATCCTCTCCTGCAATTTTAACCCTCTCATCCCCACCTGCATCCCAACCGTGTACGCCTTGAGGAAGGTGGGAACCAGGGGAGGCGGCAACTGCGCCAGTGCCTGCTGTAGCTCTGCCTCTGTCATTGCAACTCCGCCCAGCCACCTGGGAGTAAACAGGGAAAGGGAAACAGGGGGCCTTATGATTAGGCTCAAGAAAAGCAGCTGCACTAGAGCCTGCTACACTCTGTTACAGATATTGCCTTTTGAGTGTGAGAGAAGTAACAGCCACACTCACCCGCCAGACGAGGGAGGGCTGCTCCACACGTCCGCCACATACACGGTGAGAGCAGCCGGGTCCTCTGTGAGGGATACGCTGAGGGGGCTGAATCCCTGTGGGAGGTGAGGGGAAGATGAGAGGGGACGAGGAGATGCAAAGAGGGGAAATAAGGGAAGTTCTTGAGTTCACGGATAGACCGTGAGAGCAGCTGGGTCCTCTGTGAGAGATACGCTGAGGGGGCTGAAGCCTTGTGGGTGATACAGGGAAGGTGAAGTGAGGTGGAGTCAGCACTCTATTCCCTGAAAGCACTCCCCACCCAGTCTTCCTCCCACACCTGCCGCTGCAGCCGCCACCACCCCGATGTGGGACCACAGCAGTAGCTCGTGTCGTGTGGCTGCTCCCCATGCCCTCTTTACCGTCCTTGTTGACCAAATACCTTTACCTCTCTGCTGCATACACCCACCCCACCCCCCCCCCTCCCTCCCACACCCACCTGTCGCTGCAGGCGCCACCACCGGGAGGTGGGACCACAGCAGTAGCTCGCGTCGTGCGGCATGCCAAACGCCGCCTCCACCCACATGGAGCTGCCAGCTGGCCACGCCACGTCAGCAAGGAAGATGGCAGAGTAGTAGATCTCGTGGTAGTACGGCCTCACGTCGTCCGACACGTAGTAGCTCTCCACCTGAATTCCGGGCGGCAGGGATGGGCGGCAGGATGGGTGACAGAGATGCACGGCAAGGAAGAAGGCAGCACATTATGAGCAGAGCTCTTGGTAGTACGGCATGAGCTGCTGACTTTTGGGTGGAACCAGAATTCAACCAGATGGCGGCGCAATGAAGCCTAGGCTCCAGATGGATTAGAGCTCGTGGTAGTACGGCCTCACCTCGTCCGCCACGTAGTAGCTCTCCACCTGCACACCGGGTGGCACAGTGGTGGGCGACAGAGATGGGCGGCAGAGATGGGCGGCAGGGATGGGCGGCAGGGTGGGTAGCAGGAGTGGCCGGCAGGTATCAATGATGGGCGGCATGGGCGGCAGTGGCAACAAGGGTGATGATGAGACCGCGTGCGAGTTGACTTTTGAGTCGACTCAAAAGTCAAGTCGACTCAAAAGTCAAGTCGACTCAAAAGTCAAGTCGACTCAAAAGTCAAGTCGACTCAAAAGTCAAGTCGACTCAAAAGTCAAGTCGACTCAAAAGTAAAGTCGACTCAAAAGTCAAGTCGACTCAAAAGTCAACGCAGTGGCAACAAGCATGATGATGAGACAGCGTGCTAGTTGACTTTTGAGTCAACTCAGTGGCAACAAGGGTGATGATGAGACGGCGTGCTAGCGAGTTGAAAACACTAACCCAGCCGTGTCATTGATGTAAGAGAACTTTTGAGACGTCTCTAAAAACACTAACCCAGCCGTGTCATTGATGTAAGAGAACTTTTGAGACGTCTCTAAAAACACTAACCCAGCCGTGTCATTGATGTAAGAGAACTTTTGAGACGTCTCTAAAAACACTAACCCAGCCGTGTCATTGATGTAAGAGAACTTTTGAGACGTCTCTAAAAACACTAACCCAGCCGTGTCATTGATGTAAGAGAACTTTTGAGACGTCTCTAAAAACACTAACCCAGCCGTGTCATTGATGTAAGAGAACTTTTGAGACGTCTCTAAAAACACTAACCCAGCCGTGTCATTGATGTAAGAGAACTTTTGAGACGTCTCTAAAAACACTAACCCAGCCGTGTCATTGATGTAAGAGAAAGTGACGCACCCCCCCCTCATTGTGCACCTGTGCAGGTTTAAAGCCCGAGGCGATCCGACGGTGCAGAGAATCCTGGAACATTTGACCGTCGAGATTGAACACCACCACCCAGCCGACCTGTTGAGAGCAAAAGGAGCGGGAGGGGATAAAGGAGGGACGGAGGGAGAGAGGGAGAATACGGGAGCAAGAGAAGATCAGAGGAGAGACGTTTGCCAAAGGAGGCTGCGAGGAAGATCAAAACGGGAGGAGACGAGCATACATGGAAAGATACTGTTAAAGGATTGAAGGAGCTTACGGATTTGGAGTTGGGTTGCCAGAGGATGGAGAAGTAAACAAGCGGGCGAGGGGACGCGACGGCGTATGCGGTGATGAAGGCCGGCATGTGGTTGCGCTCTCGCGAGGAGATTAAAGCCGGCAGGTCGGACGCCTCGACGCGCGAGTCGAGGATAGCGCCATACGTGAACCAGCCGCCAGGATATGAACGCTCGAAATAATCTGTATGCGGGGAAGAGATACCGGGGCGCATCGATGGGAGAAAAAGAGGAAAAAATATTTTGTAAAAATATAAAGAACGAGAACGGGATTTCCTGGATGCGACGCGAGTTCAACCCACCGGAGCTTCGTCACTTTCTTGTGTAACGCTTTGCGAGCGCGAATTCGACGCGCTGGGACTTCCTGTAAACGAAAACTCATGCGGTTCCATGCCGAGCTTGCCGCGTCGCACGAGAGCTGCCTTCTTCTCTCGGCGCGGCGCCTCTCTCGTAAATGAGAACTCAAGCGGTTCCATGCGGCCTCGCGCGGAACCGCGAATAGACTCTTCTCTGCTTGTACTGTTCTCGCCGCGACGCGAGATTCCGTGTTGGGTGAAAAGAGATTCTGCGCCCCATCCGCCGCGAAACGCGGGGGCAGATGATACACTTCGAGGAAGGGCCGCGACGAGAAGTGTTAGCGGCAAAAATACTAGAACGCAGGCAGAGTGTAAATTCATCTGAGACAGGTATCTTGGGAGCGCACGGCTCACGCCTTCAGGCTAGGAACTCTTCGGACTACGGCGGAGAAGCTGCGGAGAGGGTGTGAAATGTGAAAAATGGGGGCGATATTTGGATGGATGTGAATTTGCAGAAAATGCAAACACTCGAGACAAACAGACAATGTGAAAGAGATAGGGAGCTACACTGTATATTAGTTGGATGGCTAAGATTTAACAATAGCGGTAGTGGTGAGTTACAAAAAGGCAACACCTCTAACATCCCAAGGCACCAAACCATCCGCTTTCAAAGCTTTATCCAATCATTGTCTGACATATCCCTGCCGAAGCGGGGTACTCGGCTCGTACGTAAGTTGAGGAGGTGCTTGCATGCCTGACATAATCCGATATTGAACTACGGTAGTAGAATATACAAGGAATTATATACAAGGTCAGTTACATGTTACAAAGAATTCTTCTACAACTTGTGCAGTAATGCTCTCTATACTTGTGCTATGCGACTTTCACCCAACTTCCCGTCTGGCATTGTCCTTCCTTCCACCTCCTCTCCCTCCACCTCCCATACTCCTAAACCCCCCTCTCCTCCAACCCCCCCCCCCCAACACCATCAGTCTGCCACAGAACAGTGTACCTTTCCCTGGCACTTTTCCCATGGCCCTCGAACTTGGGGGGCAGGAACGAAGCGACAAGGAGAGGGGGGTGCTTGAGGGAGAGAGCCAGCAGCTCAAAGCCGCTGCGGCTGATGTCGGGAGTGAGGATGCGGTGGGGGGCGGTGGGGGAGGTGGGGGGCCGGGCAACGTACGCATAGAAGACCTGCTCGGGAGGGGAGGAAGGGAGGGGAGAGGGGGGTGCTTGAGGGAGAGAGCCAGCAGCTCAAAGCCACTGCGGCTGATGTCGGGAGTGAGGATGCGGTGGGGAGCGGTGGGGAGCGGTGGGGAGCGGTGGGGAGCGGTGGGAGGGCGGGCCACGTACGCATAGAAGACCTGCTTGGTAGGGGGAGGAGGATGAGAGGGGAGGCAGGGAGAAGAGGTGAAGGGGCAAGAAGAGTGTGTTACGCTGCGGCCGATGTTGGGCATGAGGATGTGGTGGGGAGTGGAGGGGGGGAGTGGAGGGGGCGGGCTAGATATGCATAGAAGACCTGCTTGAGGGGGGAAGGTGAGGTAGAGCGAGAGCAGAATGTTATTCATTATATGGTATCGGGTACTACAGTGTACCACAGTGTACCGCAGTGTACCGCAGTGTACCGCAGTGTACTGCAGTGTACCGCAGTGTGCTGCGGTGAACCCCAGTGTACCGCATTGAACCGCAATGTGCCTCTCCTCCCCTCATCCCCCCATCCTCACCTTCAGCCCAACAGTGTACGCCTTGAGGTAGGTGGGAACTAGGGGATGCGGCAACTGCGCCAGTTCCTGCTGCAACTGCTCCTCCGTCCTCGCCACCCCGGTGTGCCATCTAGGGAGTGAAGAACACAAGGGGAGGGCAAAAGGGGGCAGAGGGTAAGTCTTGAGTCGACTCAAAGTCGTCGAGTCACCAGGCAGTCGGCAGCTGGGAGTACAGAGGAACTCAGGGGGGAGGGGAAAACAACGCTCGACACTCGACATGCTCCTGCATAGTGATGTCCTTTGAGATGCCTCACGGAGATGGCTTTTGAGGCGCCTCATAAGTCAGACTCACCCAGCGGGGGTGGGGGCGTTGCTCCACACGTCCGCCACATAGACGGTGAGGGCAATGGGGTCCTCTGTGAGGGCGATGCTCAGAGGGCTGAAACCCTGTGGGGGAGGCAAGGAAGATGCGAAGAGATGAGGGGAGCTGAGGGAGAATAGCTGAGTTGACTCGAGTCAAAGGACATAGACGGTGAGGGCAATGGGGTTCTCTGTGAGAGAGATGCTGAGGGGACTGAAACTGTGTAGGGGTTGAAGGGAGAGAGCAAGGAAGCAGTGGGAAAGGAATACTGCCTAGCGTTCCGTAAGGTGAAATGAGGTGAGGTGAGGTGAGGTGAGGTGAAGTGAGGTGAGGTAAGAGGGGTCTCAAAAACCCCTATCTGACACCCTCTTCAAACCCTCTCTAAACCCTCTACAGCCCATCTGCCCGCCACACCTGTCGCTGCAGCCGCCACCATCTGGAGGCGGGGCCACAGCAGTAGCTCTTGTCGTGTGGCATGCCGAATGCTGCCTCCACCCGTGTGTCGCTGCCAGCTGGCCATGCCATGTCAGCAAGGAAGAAGGCTGCGTAGTAGATCTCGTGGTAGTACGGCCTGCCCTCGTCCGACACGTAGTAGCTCTCCACCTGGACCGGGCGGTAGGGATGGGCGGCAGGGATGGGCCGGATGGTCGGCAGGTGTCGATGACACGACGCCGGCGCTGAGACATAAGAAAATGCCAGCATCATGGACAATCAAATTACAACGTAACACTGCACTAAATGGTGACGCACCCCCATCCTTTGTGCACCTGCACAGGCTTAAAGCCCGACGCGATCTGACGGTGGAGAGCATCTTGGAACATTGGACCGTCGAGATTGAATAGCACCGCCCAGCCAAACTGTCGATAGCAAGAGGGGGAGAGAGAGGCAGGACGTGAGGGAGAGAAGGTCAGAGGAGAAGCGTTGGAGTAGAAGTCCGCGAGGCAAGATGAAAAGGGGAGGAGAAAAGCTTTCCATACATACATGGAAAGCTGTGAGCGAGTAGAAAGAGCTTACGGATTTGGAGTTGGGTTGCCAGAGGATGGAGAAGAAGACGAGCGGGCGAGGGGACGTGACGGCGTACGCGCTTATGAAAGCCGGCGCGTGGGTGCCCGTGCGCGAGGAGATTAAAGACGGCAGATCGGACGCTTCTACGCGCGAGTCGAAAATAGCTCCGTAGGTGAACCAGCCTCCAGGGTAGGAGCGTTCGAAATAATCTGGCTGTAAGGAAGATATATTGGGACACACAGGCAGAAAAAGGAAGAAACGGAAAGCAAATGAAACTTAAAAGGACAAGTTAGTAATTTTTTGGATGCGACATGCGACGCGACGCGAGTCCACCCACCGGAGCTCCGTCTCTCTCGTGCGCAGTGCGTTGCGCACGTGAATTCGACGCGGTGGGCCTTCCCGTAAACGAGAACTCAAGAGGTTCCAGGCGGCCTCGCACGCAACCGCTTGAATAAGCGTCTCTTATCGTACGGTTCTCGACGCGACGCGAGATTCCGTGCTGGGTCAAGAAAGTTTTTGCGCCCCATCCGCCGCGGAACGCGGAGGCAGATGACACGCTTCGAGGAAGGGTCACGACGAGCAGAGTTAGCGGCAGAAACACTACAGCGCAGGCAGAGAGTAAATTCATAGGAGACGGGTATATCGGGAGTGCGAACATAAATGACAGCTCACGCCTTACAGGCTAGGAACTTCTCAAATATGGCGCAGAACCGCTGAGACGACGAAAAATGGGCGCAAATTTGGGTGAAAGTGGATTTGTAGCAAATGAAAAAAAACGCGATAATAGCAGTCACCGTACAACAATGTAAAATGTTGCTACATTTTCTATAAGCTGGATGGTTAACATCTAGCCAGGAGTGGCATGACTTTGAAGGGTGGCACTGTTCTGGTTGGCGACTGTTGGGCATGTTGGAGTAGCAGTGATGTCTGTCGTTGACTCGTTGGCGAAATTCGTGCACGCTAGCATCTTCCAAAGAGGCTTGTCAGGAATCCTTTCTCGCTAATCGCAGACATCGCACGTCGCTAGTCCCGACGGAGAAATCACTCTGACCCCCAACCACGTCAGCAGCACATCACAAACATCACTCGAAAAACCCAAGGCACCGAAACCACCCGCTTTCACATCTGTAGCCAATCATAGTTCGAAATACACCTGCCGAAGCAGGGTCCTCGGCTCGTACGTGAGATGGGGTGGTGAGGAGCTTGCATTACGTCCGCCGTGCTTGGCGCTCATGTAGAGAATCGAGTTTCAGCGAGGCTCCGCGCCGCCTCTGTGCCAGCGTCGACATTTCCAGTTTCGGAATAGCCAATGAGTTCCGAGCCGCTTCTCCCGTGCGAAATGTAGCCGAATTTCTCTGCACCAGCCCCCTTCTCCCTTCTAACCCCCTCCTTTCCCAATGTACAAGCTGGCTGGGGTTACGCTGCTCAGAATCTTGATCAGACTGTCGAGTCAAACGATAAGGCAGACATAAACTGTTTTGAGTTGTCAGGGTATCAAGGCAGTTTTATCAAAGCAGTCGACAAGAACAGTCACCATACTATAGTCTACGAATCTCGCGCAAACATTACGCAGGCTAGCGCCGAAAATCAAAATCCATACCACATTCAGTCGGTGTCAGGTACGCCAGCCATTTTACCGCTTGCGTGCGAGACAATAGATTCTCAGCGGACGCAAGTCTCTGCCTTCAATTAGTGACATAACACAGGGCACAGAACGTTACGAGCTCACGGTTGAAAATCCCGACTATCGACTAACAAGTCGCGCACCAACGACTCGTCCAAAGCTCCTAATCGCACTCAGCGCTAGCTCCTTACCGTAACCACTTCTCTCCGTCACTTACCCTCATCACCAGCGCTAGACCCTTACCGCCTGCGGCGCTCGTTTTATCTTACAGTCGTGCGCTCAATAACGAGTATCTTCGTTAAAGGAAGTTCTCCGTAACACATTTGAGAATTCTCAAACATCCGCTATGGCTATGTATGCGGCGAATCTCTGCCTCCTGCCGCCCTTCCTCGCCCTGCCGTCACTCCTACAGCACCGCTCCGCCACCCTCGCCCACCTCCGCGACGGCGACGACGGTGACGGCGCCGGCGACGAAACGTGTCGCACGAGCGACGGAAGCCGCTGCGACGAGTCCGGCGCGCATGTATGGATTACAAACCCCCTGACAAATCCCCTGAAGAATCCCCTGATGATGCCGATGCTGGAGCGAGAACCGTCCATGACTCACACGATCGAGTGCCTGCACGTGCATGGGACGGCTGAGAGGAAGGGCCGGCGAGTGCGGTGGGGTGACGAGGCGGGGTTGTCGCTTACGGCTATTCGAGAGTACGAGCCAAGGTGCGTGGTGTAACTCGGTTACTCATGAGCTGACTCAAAAAGGTGTGTGGTATCTATTGTGACTCCGAAAACACGTGGTAACTCCCATTGTGGATGCCCAAGTGTGTGGGCAACTCTGGTAACTCCCAAGATTCTTAACATCCCTCCACCACCCACCTCCACCCCCTCCCCCCCCCCTTCTCCTCCCCTCCTCCTCCCCCCCCCCCCCAAAATCCCCACGCCCCCTCCTCCCTTTTCCCCCCCTCCCCTCTTGCCCATCTGCAAACTTGTATGAATGCAGCGAGACGAGACATCCGGATGACCTGGCGTGGTGGGAGATGGAGGACGACGATGATGACGTGTGCAGCTGCGCCATGCAGTGACGGCGGAGCTGCGCCGAGGGTGGAGCTGTGCCGACGGCGGAGCTGCGCCATGCAGTGAGGGCGGAACTGTGCCGAGGGCGAGTTGACTTTTGAGTCGACTCAAAAGTCCACGAGGGCGGAGCTGCGCTGAGGCCGAAATTGCGACGAAGGCGAGGCAATGCCCTAAGCGGAGCTGCACCATGCATTGGGGCCGGAGCCGTGCGTTGTGCCCTGCGGGTTGTCGTTCAGAGCGGATAAACAGGTTCTAAACAATAGACTGCACTTAATATACTGTTACAACTGTGCATTAAGCAAAGCATGAGGTGTGCATTATGCACTCAATACATTCACACTGCACGCGCCTTGACTACTCTTGGCGAATGGAGTGTAATAATGGTATACTGAGCACGTTGGCTCAAATATCTTAGATCTGCTGTGGGTATTCTCTGACAAGAAGTGGTTTATGAAGTAGGATAATTCTCATCCTGGAACCTATGTGATTCAGGCCTTGCCAATAAAGTAGCTGCTGGTGTATATCGCTCTGAAGATTGTAGCAACTGACTTGGAGTGTACAATTTTGTTAGAAAAAGTTCTCTTGCATTGAGACACTCAGTGTCAGGTGCTTTTCACCCTATGTTCAAACAATCCTAGCACCGTCGCTTATATCACACCCCACCACCATGCTATCTTTCTGACACGCTGCAGCCAGCTCAGGCTGTCTCCGCGAATACTCTTCCGCCACGTGGCGCGCCACATCAGCAACCTTCTCTCGCTCCACGAGCGCCACACAGCACCCCCTAAAGCCTGCACCACTGAACCTGGCCCCGAGCACACCCTGGTGTGGCCAGGAGTATGGATCGGAGCTCTATGAGGGGCGGGCTGCCTGTGGTTGAAAAGGATGAGAGGGACGGAGGGATGGGAGTGGTGGGAGAGAGGGAAGAGGGGAGAGAGGATGAGAGAAAGATGAGGATTGAGCAGAGCTCTATGAGGGGTGGGCTGCCTGTGGAGGCAGGAGGATTGAGCAGAACTCTATGAGGGGTTTATTGCAACTTAGCGCAACGTAGCGCCCTGCTGCAACTTAGCACCCTGCTGCAGCACCTCAGGTCCCTGCAGCATTCCACCCACACTGACCGCACTCCACCCGCCAGCACCGCACCCCACCTCACACTAACCGCACTCCACCACCAGCACCACACCCCCACCCCACACTGACCGCACTCATAGAGGTCGATGGAGCTCTGCCCCGACTCCGACATCAGGCGCCCAAACAGCTGCCAGTCGCCTTGCTGCAGAGCCTCAGCGCCCTGCAGCACTCGCGCGCTCTCTGAGAAGAAGTGTGTGTGCGGCGGCGCAGCGCCTCAGGTAGGTGGTCCTGCCAGTGGCAAGGCAGAGGGAAGGAAGTGACATATGAGCCAACTAAAAGAAGTCGCTCTCTGAGAAGAAGTGTGCGGCGCGGCGGCACAGTGCCTCAGGTAGATGGTGCCTCTGGTAGATGGTGCCTCCGGTAGATGGTGCTGCCAGTGGCAAGGCAGAGGGAAGGAAGTGACATATGAGTCGACTAAAAGAAGTCGCTCTCTGAGAAGAAGTGTGCGGCGCGGCGACACAGCGCCTCCGGTAGATGGTGCTGCCAGAGGCGACAAGAAAAGAGAAGGAAGGAATGAAGCCTCCTCCCATGTGGCTCTTAAGGACGTGGATAAGAATCGCAAAAGTATTTTCCGGAAGTGCTCAAAGGCGACTGAGAATGAGGAAGAAAGGATCAGTGTTATCACCTTGTGGACCTCCAAGACGAGGGTGACTTTTGAGTCGACTCAAAAGTCAAGGCGACTGAGAATCAGGAAGAAATGATCAATATTATTACCTTGTGGGCCTCCAAGACGTGAAGAGGCACTGCAAGAGGAGGACGAGAAGACACAGGTTCATGTCAGTGACACAGGGTAAGAAGAAACCAGCACACGGAGTTTGAGACTTTTGAGACGTCTCAAAAACACGCGGGTAAGAAGAAACCAGCACACGGAGTTTGAGACGCCTCCAAAACCGTCAGGCACACGGTGTACGAAAACAGCAAGTGGAATAGTTTTGCGGCGCCTTTAAAAAGACGACTTTTGAGGCCTCAAAAGGACACACGGGTAAGAAACCAGCACCACGGAGTTGAGACGCCTCAAAGCTGTCAGGCACACGTGTATGAAAACAGCAAGTGGAATAGACGATACTGCAGTCAACGTCTGCCACAAGGCTCAAAACACAGTCACGTCTGCCACAAGGCTCAAATGTGCCAACCCGCGCCGCTCGATATATTTAACCAGGCCTAACCCTACCCGCCTCATGCCACAGACCTTGCCATATGGGACAGGTCATTCCAGGTGCGTAGAAAAGGCCGACTTTGAGTCGACCTCAAAAGGTGACTTTTGAGGTGACTTTTAAGTCGACTCAAAAGTCGCCTCATGCCACAGACCTTGCCATATGGGACAGGGTCATTCAAGGTGCGTAGAAAAAGCCCTCCCCCCCCCCCTTTCCTCACGACTCTCAGGACC